TTGAATGTTGGAAGCACGCAACGAAATTTGTAATGATAACATATTTATATAACACTTTGCATGTTATTTTTGCTGCAGTCGTCACACTGACGAGGTCCAGTTGCAGCGCTGAACAGGAATGTATGCGACTTAAAGGACCGAAACATTCCTATACAGGTTTTTTAATCCGAACTATCTTATTCACCTTCCTTTTATTCCTTTCTTTTTAACCCTTACTTTTTACATAAACACATCATCTAAAATTAAAATTACAATTATATAAAATGTGTGCTTTGATCAGACTGTTTCGGTGCATACATTCCCATTCAGCATCGCAACTGCACGACCTCGAGCGAAGCCCTTTCTGGAATGAGTTGGTTGGAGAGCCATGCTCTGAATTGTTAGCAGCGAGGTAGTAAGGGTGTCGCTTTCAGAGAGGGTCGCTTCTGCGATGTTGTCCTGAGCGCGACAACACTGAAGCGTGATGATGGCGCGGAAAGTGACTGTGGCGGATGTGATGTGAAAATCTCGGCCCATCGTGCTGTGCTTGCTGCGGCCTGTCCCTATTTCAGTGCAATGTTCAGTGGTGCCATGAAGGAGTCACGTGAATCGTGCATCTTCATGAAGGTTTCCTTCTGCCCTTCTGTGATTTTTTGCAGTTCGCCAGAATCGACGAAGCATCCATCGACGGTGTTGCCAGGGATGGTTGCTTTCAGCATTTACTACCACTCGAACTACTTGCTGAGTGCCTCTGTCTCTTTTAGACACGGACGGGAGAGTGTTGACTTTGGAGTGGAGCAGTGGTTTTTTGGAAAAAAGGGAGCAGGCTAATTTTCAACTTATTTGTTCGGGTACCATTCAGTTGTTCCTATTCACTTGACTGCCAGTCAACGAAAGAGGTCTGTCTTGCTCCCAAATGGGTTAAAATAGGAAAGGAAATCGAAGTTTCCAGTGGGTGCCTGAATCAGCTTCCATGAGTACAGGCTGTACTGTCTTGGGCAGTCTCTCCACGCACCTGAACTAGCGATTTCCTCTCGCGGCACTTCGTGATGTGCGTATTTTTGTGTCTGCACATGAAAAATCACTCCTCTTCTGTTACTCAGTACGCACTGGTGGCTGCTTGTATGCCAATGGGACAGTAATGTTTTGTCATCGTTTTTTTTGTTGTTTCAGGGAATGGATGGAACTTCGTTGCAGGCACTTGTTGACTACATGTACACTGGTCGATTAATGATCAGTGAGCAGAATGTGCAGAGTCTTCTTACGACAGGCTCATTGCTACAGGTTATCACATTGCATGCATCACTTCTTTTTCAAGCACACCCCTGGCAGCGTTAATAAACGTACCTGAAACATACGCGCATGATTGAGGGGCAGCTTTGAGTCTCGTGAGATTGAAAATAATGCCGTTTTTTTTTGGTGGCGGCCAATAGATTTTTTTTTGTAATAAAAATATCGATGATGACTTATATATATGCACATATTTGTATGTATATACAAATATAAAATGTATTAAAAAATAAACAAATGAAGGCCAGTTAATTTTTGTACATTTATATTCAGCACCACAGTGAATCTCCTGAAAGCAGTGGCTGTAATTTCATACTTTACCGGTCCTCAGAAGAAAAATTTCGCCTTGATACTTCCCCTCAGCATTAACTATAAATAGATTTAAGAGTGTAAAAGTGAAAGAAACATGCGAAGGAATCAGAACCTTACATGCATATATATACATGTATATACATGCATATATATATGCATATATAAATTGGTGTATTTAACTTTGATTATATAATATTAGTTATAATTTCATTAGTTTATATGCTGAGGAGTGGTTATTTTAATTATTTGCTAATTTTGCAAATTTTTCTGTTGGTGTTGCAGCTGACGTGTGTGCGCGATGCGTGTTCTCGATTTCTGTTGGAGCAGCTGGATCCGTCGAACTGCCTTGGCATTGCACAGTTTGCTCGACTGCATGGCTGCTCACAGCTGGCACTTTCGGCTACCACATTTATCCAGCAGCACTTTAGGTGCAGCACTTGTGCTCAGATGATATTCTCTGTGTGTGTGTGTGAGCGGGTCTTAATTTGTTCTGTAAAATTGCAGTCAGCTGGTTCACTGTGAGGAGTTTTTGGCGCTTGACAAAGAACAGGTGATCGAATTGATCTCGTCCGACCATTTGACGACTAATGGCGAACATAAGGTTCGTTGCAGAGTATCATTCTCTATCATATGGCTGAAATAGGGCGGGCGGGGTGAGAGGAGGGGAAGAGCAGAGGACAGGGAACTAAAAATTTGCGAGTAAAAGCTTGTGGAACTGCACGGGATGCTGGAATTATCGGAGAAATTTGCAGGTTTATGAAGCTGTGGTTCGATGGATTATGCACGATTGCAAGAACCGAAGCCGCGCATACCCCGAGCTATTAGCGCATGTTCGCTTACCGCTGCTCTCTTCTGATTACCTCACCGATAAGGTAATCCCGAACATATTTTTTGTTACAACAAAATCTGAAGTAATAATGGGTGGATCGAAATATCACTTGTGCTGAGGGAGATTTTGGGGAGCGTTCAGTGCTTCATCGCTTATCTCTAAAATTAGCGGCTTCTTCAAGTGCTCTCAGTGGAGTCTGAGCAGCGAATCACTCCTGATTAGTGTATCGTAGGTGGATCCCGATGTGCTGATTCGCCAGAATCCGGAATGCAAGGATTATCTTTTGGAAGCCTATCGTTACCATTTGAGGAAGGAGCGCACTGAAGAAAGTGTGCGTTGCAGGCCACGTCAACCAATCCCATTATCCAAGGTAACCGCTCTGCTGCTCTTATCATGATGATTCAGCAAACATTTCGATGCAAAACGCAGTATGCCTCTCATCCCGAACAGATCACAGTGATAATTTTAGCTGATAGTGTTGATTGGTGGTCAAGCGCCGAAAGCAATTGCTAGTGTTGATGCTTTGGATCTGGACGCTTTGCGATGGACACCACGTAATGTTTGCTCTCTAATTAACTGCGCAATTATAAATCAAAATTAAAGTGCTAATGTAGAAACTTCATCCGTACTCATTGTCTGTGAGAAGCAGAGGCTCAGGAAAGTAGCCCTAGTGGCAGCACATGTCAAAAAAAAAGTAATCCGAGAAGTTTTTAGAAAAAATCAGTCAATTCTTGTTTTCTTTCAAAGGCACTTGAATGGCTGTTAGTTCATTACTAGTTCTTTGCTGGTCCAGTCGACAGCGATGCCATTTTCCTTCGTCATTTCTGTGATTATTTTGACCGGTTATTTTTTTTTCTGTTTGATATTGTAGCAGGAGAAACACTTGTTTTTTTCATTTTCGCAGTATGTTTTGTTTCAAATGATAACGGCTGGCACTGCTCCACTCTGCGTGTGTGAGTATCCCAGCAGCGTCACTAACACGGGATACCCATACCGATTGTCCAGACATTTCTGCTGTATAACATTTTCCGTAATATTTTACGTCGAAATTTTTTTTTTTTTTTTTGAATTTTAAAGGTGTTTCTGCAGTTTTACCACGAAAATGTCACCGGTTTTTGGGATTTGTGATTTGAAAAAGTGTGCGTTGATATGTGGGGAAGTATGGGATGAGAAGAAGTTACTGCAGTGAGCGATCTGCCGCAGCGTCGTTGTCGTTGTGGAGTTGCTCAGTTGAATGAGATGATA